AACACAGCTACAAGCCTCCAGCTTCCATGATCCAACTTCACGGTCTTGTCCCAAGTTGCTTTCCACGATTTCCCTTAGACACCCTCCTATGACTCTCGTAGAATACAGTCCCCAAAGCCCTAGGAGGTGGAAAAAGCGAAGCTCCTTCGACGTGCCCGCCGCTGCCGATAGATTCGCTCCAGCTCGATTTCCTGAGCTTTCCGGGGCTCGGCTTACTCAGAGCAACACCGCAGAATCAATTGTAAAACTTGGAAAGCAAGATGGAGACTGGGATTCATGTAGGGATTATAGCTCGTACCTCTGGCTACCAAGGAATACGGAGAATGAAATGCAAAGGCAAATCTAACATCAAATTGACACTGGTAGCTTAAAGGGAGATGTCGGGTTCGGGGTGAGACTTGTTGGCTGTCGATAATGACGCCATGAAAAAAGGAAGCTACCATTAATGGGGATTGCATAGGGACTACTATGAGGATCCATCCTTTTATTCCTTGCTAACCAAAGTGGAGAACCAAATCGAAAAGAATATGAAAGTTATATGGACACTTGGAATATACACAGGGCTTTAAACAGGTTATGCAGAGTTGTACAGGGTCATTGGTAATTTTTACTTTGTTCTTCACTCAATTCCATCCTATCATAAAGACGGAAGCACTTTCTGTGATTAGAAAACATGAACCAGTCTAGGGTCAGGGGAAATGCAGGTCTTTACGTGCAGGCCCGTGCAAACATTTTAGGGCATGTTCTTCGGCCCCCTGGTTTCCATGTAACCTCTGGCACCCAAGCGTTAGCCACCAAAAGGGGGCACCAGAAGTTATTTGAGCTATAGTCTAAACTCCTAGTATCCCCCTTAATAACCCCCGCAAAACTCCCCTGTATAATCCCCCTATATAACCTCCTTTAAGGAGTTTAGACTATAGCTTCGGGCTCGAAGGCCGCTATGAGCTAGGTACCAGGGTTTAGCTTCGGAGGGCTGGGGATCAGGGTGTAGGGGTTTAGGGTTTAGGGGTTTAGGGTTTCAATGTTGGTTTCCATCCTGATGCAGGCTCTACGCGGAACAGGGAACTAGAAGTGAATGAGTTCACTTGAACGCTGGCCTGTAGAACTCTTTGGCAACCATTCCCTGAAGGGGACAATCCATCAAAGGATTGGGTTGCTGTTAAGGAACTTAAATTAAGTTACCATAATAGGCATATATAGTAAATAATAGGGTTTCCCCAGTATAGTAACTTAATTTAAGTTCCTTAACAGCAACCCAGAGAAACGGCCAACTTAGGGTGAACAAGTGCATCCCAGATTGCCTCAGCGAAGGCGGTTTCTGCTCATTAGTGTAGGAGTTGAGCCCAGATCCTCTCGCCCTCATAACCACAGAACCCCCACCCCCTAATCATGTATGCTGCCTCTACTACGCCACTGTATTCTGGAATCTATTGCTATTGAGGTGTGCCGGCTTATGAATTATAGTGCTGAGAGGGGATTACAACTTTTGCTGCCCACCCTCCAGTCAATCAACTTGAGGTTGCGATTTTAGTAAGGTTTTGAATGTAGGTAAGCATATTACAAAGCAGTAGCGCAGTAGTGCTTTCTAGAATAACAGTCATAAAAACAGCAAGAAAGTAGAGGATGCTACCTTGTTGCAACTTGGGGTTTCTCGGCCAAACCACAAAATTGCAGGCGCATCCTTACAGCAGCTGCGTTCCGGGTTGAATCAGAGCTTAGGGTTTAGTATAGGGTCAAGGGCATTATATAAGCTCTCAACTAGGTTCGAGGCTCATACTGGACTAGGATGATGAAAGCTGCGGCGGAACAGCTGTGGGCTCATGGTTGGGGGGGAGCTCTTCAAAGTGCGGATTCCAAGTCATTTTTCTCCTGCTTCTTATTCAGCGTATTCACTGTACGAACGCTGCGTGTCTGTTCCGCAGACAGCTGCTACGGGACTCCCAATCAATCACTGAGGCAGATGCTTTCAAAGAGGGTGCCTAACAATGTGGGGACGTCAGCAGATCTTGGGCTCTGCAAGCCCAGTGCCACCCCGGGGACGGGCCCAAACAACAGGTATCCTACACTAGATCCTACACCTGTGGCTGCCATGACAAAAAGCGGCATGCAGATCAAGAGTTCATGAGGATTGACAAGCTTAGGGCTCTAAGTTTGTATATGATCTATGTAAACTTTACCTACCTGGGAATCCAAAAAAAGGCCCTAAACCCTAGCCCCAAGCAAACCCTGTCACAGAACAGCCTGGGGAGTTCCGTTGCAGAGGCTCAGCTCACGAAGTGCTTCTTGCGCCCCTCCTACGTCAAATAAAGGTTTTGGGTTTAGGGTTCAGGGAAGGGGGGAGGTAAGATTCAGGCTTTCAGCGTTTTGGCTTTCCATCGAAGGTGTCGAGTGCAGAGTTCGTGAACCTTCCTCCCTAAACCAAGAAAACCTTAATTTCCCCGTACCCCCAAAACCCAAACCCTAAAAACCTTAACTTCCGCAGAAATCTCCTCAGCTGCACCTGAGTTGCCCGCAACAGGTGAGAAACTTGCACTCGGTGGTGCTTCGATGCCACCGACAAAGGCGTGTCGCCTTCCTTGTGGAAGGAGAGGGCTTGGCAAAAGAGATGGAAGTTGCTCAACATGAGAGTACCCTCCAGGACTCTAGGAGTACGCAGGGCACATAATATTGATGCTTTGGGAAATTGTAAAACGCAGTTTAGCGTAGGGTAGGGAGCACTTTGGGATAGAGGAATGGGAGCCCGATTTGAGAAACTACGCACTCATACTGACGGCAATTATATGCCCGCAGAAAAATTACATGGCTCCTGGTCACAGCACACCAAAGATCGCACTCATAAGGACGCGTATTATATGTGCACAGAAAAAATACATGGATCCTGGACACAGCACACCAAAGATCGCACTCATAATGACGGGTATTATATATGCCCGCAGAAGAATTACATGGATCCTGGATACAGCACCTCAAAGACGGACTACATGGAACTACATGTAGGGGGCGTACAGCCCTGCATGCAATGCGAGTGCCTGATGACTGTTTCAATTTGTGATCCTGGTAAGAGCCCCACCCTAGTGATCCCTATAAAACCGCTATAATGATGCCTGTAGTTTCCATTTTCTTTTCGATTATCCCAATATTACCCTACAATCAACCCTAATATAACCCCAATATTACCCTAATATAACCCCAATATTACCCTAATACAACCCCACTATAACCCTAAAATAACCCCAATATAACCCGAATGTAACCCCAATATAACGCTAACCAGTGAGAATGTCTATGTTTGTGCAATTCCTGGCTCAAGTCCAGGAACCTTTTTCCTTTGGCAGTAGGGGGATATAGGGGCTTAACATAGGGGGGAGCAAGGGGGTTATATTAGGATAATGGAAAAGAAAATGGAAAATATTGTTTAGGGTTGAGGGGCCCTTCTAAACAATTTAAACTGTGACCTTGACCTAGTTGCTTGAAGTCACATTCGTAGGCACCCATCTTGCGGCATAGCTTAGCACGACCACATACGACCACTACTCATCAAGTACCCTTGGTTAGATTCTGCCCCCACACCACTGCCATTGTTCTACGTACGATCCCTGAGGAGGCCGGAGAAAAGCCCTAAGACCCGCAAATGCACAGCGCATTTCTCAAGATGAAGCAGCCCTCATTGGCCCTCATAGATGTTGCCTACATAGTCCTCGCTGTGCAAACCCCTTCCTTTGGAAACAACCCTATATGATGGCCCGAGGTTCCATGTTTGCTCTGTACATGTCTGCACGTGCCTGCAGAAGTAGTCGAACCACTTCCAAATGACCACCCGCAGTTGCCATCAGAAGGGGTGTCCGCTGAAACATGGCAGGCTTGTCTTTATCAGCTCCAGCTTCCAAGAGTAACCTGGGTTGCTCTAAAGGAATGTAAGTCAAATTACCACAATGCGGATGTATGGTAGATAATACGTTTTGCTACTATGGTAGCTTAGTAAAGTCCTCCAAGGCATGCCAGTAACTTTGTGAGCTCTACTTGGCCCATGTGTGCTGCCTTGCACAAAGGAGTGTGCCCCGTCCGGTTGGCTAAGTCCAGGTCACATCTCGCAGCAACCAGCAATTTGGCCACGTCTAGGTTTGCAACAGATGCTGCTGCTCCAAGAGGCGTGTCACCCTCGGTCATTGCACGTATATTCATGTCTGCACCCATGCCCAGGAGCAAGCTTAGCAGTTCAGTTCGGCCAAAGTAAGCCTTACTTGCCGGGATTCTTCAGGAGAAAACATCCCCCAAGTAAATGCACATATGGACAGAGGTGTCGAAATTTTAGGAAATCTCCGAAATCCAGCACCTCCTGGCATGCTCCTGGACAGCCACTTACTCATTGTACAATAGAGAGCAGGAATACTTAATACACTCCAAACCGTATCGACGGCCCGATCCAACAGCAGCCCGCGATCCGAAGATAGCTTACTGCTCTTCCTAAGTCCTAACATCCCCAAGTCTACCCCAAAAAACCTTTAAACCTGCACCAAAAGCGCTGTTCTAATTTTGGCCCAGTTGAGTAACAGCAAGCCACAAAGGCGTCTGCCCAGCACTGTTTGCCTGAGCGAGGGTGTAGGGGCCCAATTTGGGGGCCTTAACAGCTCGGGGTGTTAGGTATAGTTTGATTACATAAGGATGGTTGCGGTGCTGCTGATGCTGCCACTTCTGCGGCTGTTGTTGGTGCGTGTGCGCTTGTGTGCTGGTACAGCTGCTGGTTCTGATAGCCATCTTTACTTTATCAGCAATGGCATTCGACGTGAACGTGATCATGGTCGTAGCAGGTGGAGGTGCATCGTCGAAGAATTCATGATAAATTCGCCAGCAGGACCAATGGTTGCGCCTCGTACTATCAGGCAAAGCAAAGCAATAAAAGCCTTGCAGCTGCAAGAACATGCTTCAATAGTGCTTGAGCAAACCCAAGAAAACAAGGGGTCCTCGTTTCAGTGAAACAATCATATGAGCAGCTGAGTTGCTTCGTTCACATCAGCTTTGGCTTCCAAGAGCAATCGTGCCACGTCCAGGTGACCGTGCCAGCAGGTGCCTGGTTCAAGCTAAACTCCCTCCACGAACCACAGTTGGATCCCAAAGTGCGCTGTATCAACCAGAAATACTTCAGGCAGAAAGCCTTCTGTGGAACTCACAAGGTGCTTCGGAGGGGTGTGTACCTGCCGTTGCCCAGGTTGGGGTCTACCCGCTGCTGCAAGAAACCCTCCACGTCCTGCACCATCCCGCCCGAACATGCATTTGCTAGCCCTTCGAGTTGCTCCTGGGATGCATCGCAGTAGGGCTGTAGAACCAGCTGCACATCCATGTGAGAATCCAGCTTAAAGCCTTCGTCCATAAACATGCCATCATGCAAGAGCCGTTGCCGGAATCGCGGCACACCACACAATTTTTGCAAATGCAGCTTCAGGCTTCTGACGTCGTTCACCGTCTCAAGGGGCACTGCAGAAAACAGCTCCCCCGAAACTTTCCAGACATGCAACATGCTGGACGTGTTTGATCAAGATTGTACAGAGACCACCCAGTCTAGGTCCTGTCTTGGTAGTTGATGCTATATGTGTGCTCTGGAAAGGGAAATTTGGCAAGCTATGCAGGATTGAAAGAAGAGGGGTTTAGAGGGGCTACAGTCGGCCTGCTCCAAAATTGCTGCGTCGGCGCGCGGCTACTAGGGGAAGCGTATCGTGCTTAGGTTGAGGCTTCATGATCACATACGTAATTACGTAAGCCTTAGACCCACTAGCATGGCTTTACGAGTAGGCTGCTGTACGTAGTGAAATCTTCGTTTTGAATTTGGGAGGACACCTGTGGAGCCCCAAACTCGGACAACTGCTGACATCCGCTTGCATGCATGTGTGGGCATGGCGCTGGCTGAACGCAACTTCTGCTCATACTCATACTCAAACTGCTGGTACTGCTGCGTACTGCACCTGCTACTACTGTACTACTGCTACTACTGACTACCTCTACGACTGCTACTACTGCTACAACAACAACTACTACTACTACTACTACTACTACGACCACCACCACCACCACCACCACCACCACCACCACCACCACCATCACCGGAATTGGGATATGAAGACAATGGTCTGCGATTGCCATATAAGCCTAAACCCTTGGGCCCTAAACCCTA